TTATTTTTTCAAAATCAAATTATTGTCTTCTCATTAAAGCGGCATGTTAAAATTCCTAAATTTCATTTATAACCTGAATCATCTCAGTCCTTCATTTTATTCCTCATAATCTAACTTGTATATGATAATAAATTTGTCAAACCAACAGAAAAGCTTTGATTTCTGAAGAAGGAAAATATAAGGGAAAACTTAGGATAATTCAAAAAATTCCTTTCTATCAGAGAATTTCTCTCTACATACGTTGTAGAAAAATCCTCTATCAGGAAGTGGACAAAAACCTATGCTGCAAAGAAGTCCTCTTTTTTCTCATAAAGTCATCCATATGTTTATCCAATTGAGAAGTCTTTCCTCTATTGAATATCAACCAAACTTTAAAAGTTTAAATCTTGTGGAAGAATACTATTAGAACATCCTTCAAATCCTCCTGGTAAAAAAGTTCTCTGACAGAAATCCATTAAATTCTCTATTTATTGTGAAAGTCCCCTTTGTATCAGGTTAGTTACCACAAAATATGCTTCTTTAAGAGCCCTCTTATCATTGGAAACCTGCAATCAAATATTTTCTACCTCGGCTATTAAATTTGAGTCTATGCAGAAATCTATGAGCTGCCAATTGAAGGTTCCTTTGTTTTCAAGCAAAGGGTAATCAACGATATACTCCTAACTCCTTAAGGCATTTGGATATGTCAAACCTTACAATTAATGTACCTCTTTGTATGTGGAGGGAATCATATGGATTATGTCAAATTCCAGATTTATCTTTCTTTTTTCTAATCTGTCCCGAAGGTGCAACTCCGTTAGGATGAGATCTATGAACCTGCTCTCACTTTTTTCACTCTCCAAGCCTCCTTTCATTACTGACTTTCTCTCTCTAAAATCTCATGTGAACCTCCTTTGGAATAGGAACCTTTCAGGACTGCCAACATCTGGGCGTGCGGGTTCTCATTCTTACAATGAGATGGCAAACTAGTTAACCACCTATCTTTTCCATGTGAGGATAAGAACCGGCCGCTTTCATGCGGACGATTATGAGGGGATTCAAACTCCTTACGTTGTATCTTGAAGGAGAAATATGCTAGTAAGAATGAGGATTAGAGAGAGGGGGGCATGTTCAGGGAGGTGGAGAGAAAGAGTTTCAGAGAGCGTAATTATGAAAATGATGTTCATATAGTAGTAGCATGCTGGAGCGGAAAGTAGTTTAGAGAGAGGAACTACTTGTAGTGTTTGTGAAAGAAAAGGGTACGAGCGAGAATGATTTAGAGAGAGATAGTTTATGAGAGAAAGTAGGTTAGAGTGCGAACAAGTTTAGGGAGAGAGATGTTACTATGGGAAAGAAAATGTAAGATAGGGAGACCAAATAAATTAAGCTAGAAATAGGTTTAGAGTGAATAAGAGCATGTTTGGCAAATGGTCGAAGTGTCTTATAAGATGATTTGAGATGTTTAGCAAATGACTTATTTTGGCTTATAATCCACCAAAAAAAAAAGCTATGATATTTTAACTTATTTTTTTGGTGGATTATAAGCTACAAAGTTTGACCAAGTAGCATATATATCCTTCATCATTTTGCAAAATTCCAGTCCATGTCCTTTGTGGTGGATTATAAGTCATGTTACCATGTATTTTTGGTCATTTTGATAACAACGATGGTTACAATCCATCCATTTGCCAAACATTACTACTGAAATTGGATTATAATCTACTAAATTTTCTTAATACTATGGATTATAATATGCATGGATTATAATCCATTTGTGGGTCAATACTCTAAATCTACTCCTTTGTACTTAAAAGGAGAATCCGGGATTTACTGTTCATGCTACAGTAAATACTACACTAAATTGGTCTAGCAAGAACAATGAAGCTTTGTGTCCAAATTACTGTTCATTCTACAGTGGTATAGATTAATAGATGTGATTTTTAATTTTAAACATATAATAATCAAATCAAATATATTGAACCTTAGAGAGGCTGGTTCAAAATGCGATGTTAAAAAAAACAGAAGGTCGTGCTTTGCACAGGGTACACACTAGTGGATTATAATCCATAATTGTCAAACATGCTCTAACTAGGTTATAGAGAGAAGATCTATAGAAGAATTTAGAGAAGGGTAGTTCCGAAGAGAAGTC